CACACACACACACACACACACACACACACACACACACACACACACACACACACACACACACACACACACACACACACACACACACACACAAAACATCCACCTTATTTCTAACTTTGCTGCTTGATATTTCAAACTGGTATTTTTATTATTTTAATTTCATTCATTTTCCTGTTTATTACTGTGAAGCTAAATGCGGAAGTCTCGCACATGCAAGTCTCGCGCTGCTAAACACTTGCGTATGTACCACTGTTATGATACTCTAATAAAACTTGATTGTGATCCAATCTGATTTCATGGTGTTTTTGAACGTGAACAGCTCCGGATCACTGTCTGCTTTCATTTCATGTAAAAAAGCTGCGTGAACATTGTACTAAACATCAGCTTTAGCGTTCCACAGAAGAAGGCAAGTAAGTCTTCGGGGTTTTGAACGACATGAGGATGAGTAAATGATGACAGAATGATAATTAGTGAGGGAAATACCCCTTTAGCATGAAGTAGTGTTTACATTAGGCCACTAGAGGGCGACAGCGCTCAGATTTAGCTGCAGCTGCTGCTACAAACACGCACATTAACACATACACTGTAACAATATAACAATCACCGGCCAATCAGAAAGCAGCTCTCCTCTGAGGAAAAAGAGAGGAGGGGAAGCTGGACGCTGATTGGCTGGGCGCCTCTGTCTCTGTCTCCTGTCCTGCTGATGAATCACAATATTAGATGAAAACAGTGCACTTCATTATGAGTGTGAGATTTCTAAATAAAGCCAACAGCAGTCTGACCCGCTTATTTATGATGCTTGTGAAGGTTAATGGGTCAGTTCTTCAATCTTCAGTGTCTGTTCACTAGCCCATTAAGCTTGTGTTGTTCACATGACTCTTTCAATATGTTTAATGAGATGTTTTTGTTAATGTGAAGAAGCCAGAAGAAATGTAAGCGAGGGAGGTGAAACATCCAGGCATGTTCTGTGAGGTTTTGCACATGCAAGTACCTGGATTCTGTTTATTATTAGCTTATTTGAGCTCTGGTCTGGAAACGGAAAGCTTGTTTTCATAGAATAGAATAGGAATAAAACTATATTTAAAAAAAAATGTAACATGCCAGTGCAACATTTCTCATTTTCATTTAGTTTGTCTCGATGTGCTAAAATAACTAAGATAAAAATGAATGAATACTATATAGGCACTTTAAAAAAAACTAATGAAATTGACACAAAATTGCAAAACTTTAACTAAAATTGAGAAATTTTAGAAAACATCAAATAAAAATGAGTTCAACATATTAATACAAGTTTAAAAAGAACAGTATCACTGAGATACTTTTATGTTTTTAAAAAAATTAATATTCTGAAATAGTCTTTATTTTTGTGTTTTCATTTAAACTGAAGTTTTAGTAATTTTGTTGTGTTTCCATAATTTCTATTAGTTGTCTACATAGGTTTAATAATTTGTATTCCTGTTTTGATTATTTTAGTACAAGATCAATTGAATAAAAATTCTAAATGTTGCTTTGGGAACTAGCTGAAACAAAATAACCTAACCTGGCATTGTTTGTGTTTATTTGTTTAAATCAATTAATTAATTGTATTTAGTGAGTTATAAATCCTTATTTTAGCCTTTTTGATAGCCTGAATTAATTGCACTTCATGCACTTCTCAGATGAATAGATATGAGTTAAAAAAAATATTTTCATTTAATAACGTCCATAAATAGTGGCGTATTTCATACAAACAGATGACAGGGAATGCAACTGTTGTTGATGTGTAAATACGAGGCAAGATATGAGGATGATGTAAAGCAGGTTTGTGCATGTGATGAGATTCAGAATGAGTTCAGAGATTCAGGGCGGGGCGACAGAGGGCCGCGTCTCAAATCGCGCTCAGCTGTCTAGATAGTGCACAGCGTTTGGGCGTCGCTGGCGCACGAGGCGTTTTGAGGGAGACACAGGCGCTGCGCCCACTAACGCTGCACACTAGTTAGGGCGCACCGGAGGATTTGAGACGCGGCCCGAGAGACAGAAACCCGCTGCTGCGCTTCATTAGAGCCTCGGTGGGTCTCCATCATCCATCCGTCCCTCAGAGCCGAACCACAGACCCGATACCGAGCGCACGGAACCGGCGGATGGACGGAACGCTCGCGCTCTGACGGAAGCTCCACTCGTTCATCTTCGGCTCGGTTCGGCGCTCCGATCGCTGTTCGATCGCTCGCTATTGTTCGGATGCGCGACGCTGGGGATCAAAGAGCCCGATCGATTCCCGACCGAACATGAGTTCTGCTCTCCGCTGGGTTTTATCGCTGTGCTTCATCATCACCATCATCATCATTCAGGTGAGTTTGTTCTTTGCGTTCACGCAAATGAGCGTTCGGGTCTGCGGCGAGCGCGAGGCGTTAATTAGACACGCGCGCGTCATTAAATCGGTTCGTGTCGCTTCAGTTTCTGTGTGTCTGATATCAGCAGCAACTGATGCGAGGTACACGATCAGAATCTGCTCCGATATTCCTGCAGGCGAAACTGGGTCACACAGCTGAGAGAGAGAGTGTGTGTGTGTGTGTGTGTGTGTGTGCAGCATCAGTCTGCTTTCACTGTATGTTACACTGGAACATTTATTTTAATATAATAGCCTAATATGTGACCCTGGAGCACAAAACCAGTCATAAGGGTCCATTTTTTTTCGAAATTGAGATGTATGCATCAGCTGGAAGCTGAATAAATAGCTTTCCATTGATGTATGGTTTGTTAGGAGAGGACAATATTTGGCTGAGATACAACTATTTGAAAATCTGGAATCTGAGGGTGCAAAAAAATCTAAATATTGAGAAAATCATCTTTAAAGTTGTCCAAATGAAGTTCTTAGCAATGCATATTACTAATCAAACATTAAGTTTTGATATATTTACGGTAGGAGATTTACAAAATATCTTCATGGAACATGATCTTTACTTAATATCCTAATGATTTTTGGCATAAAAGAGAAATGTATAATTGTGACCCATACAATGTATTGTTGGCTATTGCTACAAATATACCCGTTGTGGTCTAGGGTCACATATTGTTATTATTGCTATTATTATTATTGGGATATTATTAGTATTAGTTTTGTTAATATTATTATTATTATAAATACACACAGAATTTTTCAGTGAAAGTATGCAGGAAAATTCCAGTGTTATTATTATTATTAAACAGGTGATGTGGCTTTGTTAAAATGGTTTTTAAAAGCTTACATTTACACTTTTTAGATTTTAAACTGCAAGTATTGCAGGAACTAAGTGTAATTATTATCAGTGAACCTGAAGACTGTGATTATGTGACTTCGTCTGTAATTATAACGCAAGTTACAGAGTTTCTGCTCAGACTTTGAATAATTTATGTATATTATTAGTATATTATATTATAAAATGAAGTGAGTTTATGCTTAAAACAAGAACAAATATCTGCCCAAACTTGTTTTTCTTTTACATAAGTAGATTTTTCTGAATCCATTAGAAATGGAGGAGATCGTTTCTAATAACATTGAGACATCATGTTCATTAAACTTAAGGTTAACTTAAATGAACCTTAATAAAGCCCGTACAGTGTAAGACATTGATTGTGAGATGACTGAAGTAGTATTGAAAACTTACGGCCCGATCACACAGAAGGCGTGTTTGCATCTAAAATTTTTTCCCTCAAATAAAACAGTTGCCATGCCAACTTACTATTGTAAACAAAAGCTTGCAACGCTTGCCCCGCCTCTGGGCTTTTCTGATTGGTCCACTTTTTGGAACTGACACTGATGAAGTGGCGCTGCGTGTAAAAGTTTAAATATAAAGGGGTCATGACCCCTTTAAATGAAAGCAAAATTCCCTTGATCGTTTGACATATAAGAGTCAATTGTACTTTAAAACCATCTTGTAAGTTTAAGAACTCAATTTTGTCGTAAAAACAGCTTATAATGAAGGCAGTCTGCCAAAACCACAGCCTGTGGAATGTTATACTCTATGATGTAATAGTGTGGATAAGCACCGCCTCCACAGAAGAAGATCAATGCCTGCTTCTACATATCGGCCTGTTTAGCCCCACCCACCGATGCTACATCTCTGCCTGTTTAGCCCCGCCCACCGATGCTACATCTCTGCCTGTTTAGCCCCGCCCACCGATTCTACATCACTGTCCGTTTAGCCCCGCCCACCGATACTACAGCGCTGCCTGTATAGCCCCGCCCACCGATTCTACATCACTGTACGTTTAGCCCCGCCCACCGATACTACAGCGCTGTACGTTTAGCCCTGCATCGCCTTCCGTCTGATCCCAACAATAGGATAGAGAGGATAAACTTTATTTTTAATGAAGATCCAGACCGCGTCAGTAAGAACTCAGTCCTTTGTTCATTTAGCCCCGCCCACCGTTTCTACATCACTGTCCGTTTAGCCCTGCCCACCGATACTACAGTGCTGCCTGTTTAGCCCCGCCCACCGATTCTACATCACTGTCTGTTTAGCCCTGCATCGCCTTCCGTCTGATCCCAACAATTGAAAAACGCGTTCTGTGTGAACGGCCACTTATAGAGCAGCAGTTCAGTAAGAACACGTGCGTTTGCTGCAGTGTACATTAATATTACTAAGTTTAATAGTTGTGTCAAGGGACACCTCAGAAAATGCTCCTGAACCTCAGGATTTGAACTCTTGGATTTGTTTAAGATGATGCCACTGTTTGTTTCATTCAAGTTTCCGGCATAAGAAACTTCATCTGAAGCGATCGGAGGTGTGTGGGTCTCCTCTTCATCAGACGGATGCAAATGAAGAGCGCCGCATCGGTTCTCTTTAACCTGAGCATTTGCCGACGGCAGACGCTCCATCCATTATACATGAACCATCAGAGAGTCACTCCATCTGAACGCTAAACGCCAGTCAGATCACGCTCGGAAAGACTGCTCAAATCTGAGTTAAACAGACCTTCAGGATCATTAAAATGATGTTCAGTCAAAACGCCGAAGCACAAACCAGTAACACTCAAATGCACTGCAAAAGTGCTGTTCCTCCCCAGTATCTCTGTCTTGTTTTCCAGTACAAATATCTAAATCAAGATACATTTACTGGAGAAGAAAAATGACTGAAGATATCAGTCTTGTTGTAATGAAAAATACATCAAAATTAAGGAAGAACATTCGAGGGAGAAATCATTATAATTATTATTACATAAGAATTATTATTATTATTGCTAAAGAAAACATATGAAATTAACTGTTACAATGTTACTTTAGTAATATCTCACTCTAAAACAAAAGTCTTGTTTTCTTTTTAAAAAAGTATCAAAATTAAGTGAGTTTATGCTTAAAACTAGGGCTGCACAATTTTGGTTAAAAAATCAAATTGCGTTTGTTCTTTGATAAAAAATAGTGATTGCAATAAATAAAGAAAGGGTTTGTTGTGCTGCACAATCTGTGATTATATACCAATATGTCTAAAAAAATAATAAAAGTTGTTATTATTATTACTAAATACATATTTTTTTTTACCAAACTTTTAGAATACTACTATAGTAATATTTTACTTTAAAGTAAAAAATGTGTATTTATGAAAAATAATATACTAAATATATTATGTGTTATAATACAATACTAATATTTATGGCTGCCCTAATTTCTTCATTTTAAACTGTCGAACATTTTTATCTTTTGGGAAAACGCTTCGCTTCTCTCTTGCTTGTCTTTGCACGTTTGTATTAAAACATTCACACTGAAACGGCAATAATTGCACTTAACTATATCCCGTTTGATTTTGTTCTTGATTTAGGTGTAAACCCGCTTAATTCTGCTCTATTTTTCATAATATCTTCAGTCATTTTCTATCTCCAGATTTCAGAATGTTTAGATGACACTGATGGTTTTTTCGTCTGATATCGTCTGAATCGTCAAATATCGTCTGAAAGTGATTTTCTGTGTGTTTTCCGCGTTGGCTGGTGAATGAATGTGTGTCTGGCCTCATTGACACTCTTTGTCATCATTCATGGACGCTCGTCTCGTCTCGTCTCGTCTCGTCTCGTCTCCATCCGGCTCATTCACTGCCACTCAATGGAGCAAAATCACAGATTATCACCCTGATATTTCAGTCATTTAGTGCAAAAGATTCGTTCAATCTCCAGTTGGTTTCATGCTTTGGTAGAGTCAGATATATGCGATGATGTAGCGATGCGTGTGATGTGTGGCGTCTGCAGTGTCGGTCACATGACCCTGAGCCGCTCGCTCTCTCTCTCTCTCTCTCTCTCTCTCAGCACAAAGACTCCTGTATCTCCTCCGGAGACGCTTGAAATCCATTCCCCGGAGCTCATGCTCGGCGTCTTATAGATGCACTGTTTTTATAGTGGCGCTCGTGTGTGACACAGTTTCTCACCGACACACATCTGATGCTCATAGAAAGCACTCGTAAGCGAAAGAAAGTAGGAAGAAATTATACTTGGCCTTTTGCTATGTCTGTGTTTGCATACTTATCAAAACCAATGCATTCGTTCGTATTTTAAAAACAAAAGAAGTTTAGATGAAAAGTCATGCTTTTATTCATCAAGGACGCATTAAATTGATCCGAAAGGGACGGTAAAGACATTTATAACGTTAGAAAAGATTTCTATTTCAAATAAATGCTGTTCTATTGCTTTTTCTATTCATCTGTGAATCCTGAAAAATAAAAGGTATCACGGTTTCCACTAAAATATTGGTGGCTTGTTAAAACCAATAAATCCTAATGAAACATGTCCCAAAACACACTACAGAAAACCATTTTTTAATGGTTTTAATGGTTAAAAGTTGATGGTTTGTAATGGTATTTGTAGTGGACTCCATTAACATTTTCTGTGATGGTTTTATTGGTTTTAGTTTTTTTTCAGTAGGGACATAAGCCTATATCAGTTATACAATAATATCTAATATCAGTTATAAAATAATGAGTGCATGATGCCCCTGACACTACAATACAATATTATTTGTCAAATAAATTAAACATGATGAAACATTAATTCTAGTTGAAATTGTTATAGATTACTTCTAGAGATTGCAGTGAGACATGACATGGTGAAAAATGACTGAATGAATAATACTTTAAGTAGGTAAAGTTAAAATTGTGCCCCCTAAAAGCAGAAGTGTCCCTTGTCTGGCCCCCTCAGTTACTGTGGTCTAGAACCGCCCCAGAGTAATGATGCTGAAAATTCAGCTTTGATCACAGAAATAAATTACAGTTTAATAGATATTCACATAGAAAACATCTGTTTTACATTAGAATAATTTTTCACATTTTTTACTGTATTTGTGATCAAATAAATGCAGCCTTGGTGAGACTTCTTTCTTAAAGATTAC